CAAATTAAGCGATCTTTTAGAACCACATTTTTTAGAGACCCTGTTTTAAAAAATAATATTTTGCATTAATTTCCCCTCCTCCCCCCCCCCCTCCTCAATTATTGCCAAATTTTCTCCTACCATACGAATTTTTAAAAAAAAATGTAAAGCAATTTAAATTAATTTTATATTAAAATGGTAAAATCCAAAGTATTCATTAGATCAAGGGTCTCAAACTCAAATCATGGGGAAAGGGGGGGGGGGCACAGGAGGTAGTGTCTGAATGAGAGTGGGCCGCATCAAGTAATCCACAAAAAAGCGATTACAACTGTTACAATCTGCTCAACCTTTATAAATAACAATAAAATCATTAAGGGTTCTCAAGAACTACTCACTGTTGCCAGTGACCTGGCATACAAAAATATATAGAAACACTCAAAAAAAATCAGAATTAGACTAGTCGGTGAGATTCGACTGAAACCGTCGCGGAGAGCCACGTTATTGATATGAGAATGGGGGAAACGGGCCAGCGCATTTACACTAAACTTTTCTGTCATGTAGCGGGCCGCAAAATATCGTTTGCAGGTCACAAATGGCTCGCGGGCCGCGAGTTTGAGACCCCTATATTAGATGTTTATTTATTATTCACGATTATCTTATTTTTTATAAAAAGAATGTAAATATTTATACTTTCTCACATCATTTTCGATTAATGCAGAATGTAAGCGGGAAAGAATTTCAAAATATCTTAATATTTCATTTTCGGTTTCGGCTTCGGTTTCGGCCGAAATTCATTTTTAACTTTCGGCCTTTTTTCGGTTTCGGCCGAAAGTCATTTTTAAACTTTCGGCATTTTTTCGGTTTCGGCCGAAAGTCATTTTAAACTTTCGGCCTATTTTCGGCTTCGGCCGAATTCAGAAAACTACTTTCGGTCGGTCTCTAGTTGAGGGCTAACATAAAGGTGGGAGATGTGAGGGCTAACATAATCCATCCATCCCTGTGGCGCTACAGCCCATGTGGGGCGTTGGCCTGTCTCACCTCTTCCTTCCACTCAGACCTAACTAATGCCAAGAACTAACATCAAGGTCTAGAAATTATTATGGTATGCCATCCATGTATGGTCTCTATGAGGGATACACACATAGCAGGACAGTTAATACAATGGTATAAAGTATGTCCCCCGTTCGCGTGATACTTTTATCACTCAATCATTGCGTCATTTTAAGACAAAAGCAAATTGCAGATTGTCTAAGTAATGTAATATTATCCTAACACATGCACCATTTCCTTATGTGAGAATTTAGCGCACGGCAGGAGAGTTAGCATATTACACATATTTGACGTACATTCGCTTGTTGTATAATTTGACGTACATGCGCTGGTTGTATACAGCTGTATCAATAGCTTATAAGCTCATTGCAGTATGTGTAACCAGAATGAAATATGGTTGCATGTTATGCTCACTTAAATTGGTATCTAATTTATTCTATTTGAGAATTCAGTGAATGGCTGTATGTTCAACATTTAAAATAGCATGGTTAGAAGTCTATTGGACGGCTGTAGGTTCATCCTACATTATATCATGGTTATAAGGAATGTTCCCTCTCAGATTTGTTCGTTCGTGTGCAAAATCATACAGTTGTGTGCAAAGTTTTCCAGCATCATTTTTTTTTTGTGTGCAAAATTTTACAGCCCACAAACACACACTTACATGGAAATTTGCTGCGCGGATACTCAAAACTGCCGCGCAGCTTAAAGGGAACATTGGTTATAAGTCAATTTGACGGCTGTAGGTTCATCCTACAATCTATCATGGTTATAAGTCTATTTGGACGGCTGTAGGTTCATCCTACAATCTATCATGGTCATAAGTATATTGGACGGTTGAAGGTTCATCCTACAATCTATCATGGTTATGTCTATTGGACGGCTGTAGGTTCATCCTACAATCTATCATGGTTATGTCTATTGGACGGCTGTAGGTTCATCCTACAATCTATCATGGTCATAAGTATATTGGACGGCTGTAGGTTCATCCTACAATCTATCATGGTTATGTCTATTGGACGGCTGTAGGTTCCTCCTACAATCTATCATGGTTATGTCTATTGGACGGCTGTAGGTTCATCCTACAATCTATCATGGTTATAAGTCTATTGAACGGCTGTAGGTTATGTCTATTGGACGGCTGTAGGTTCATCCTACAATCTATCATGGTTCTAAGTCCGAACAGAAAACTTCCATTATTATTCCACTCAACAATTGCATACTAAAAACACATAAAAACACAGAAAAATAAAGGCGCATTTGCTTCTACTTACAGAGCGTCCAAATGGGCCGCCGGGAATAAGGCGCACTTCAGTGTTGCGTTAAAAAAACTTTGAATCAAAAACTTATTAGTGCGCGCGGACAGACCAGATAGCATTTCGTCACACGGCAACTGAGAAATTCCTTTACTGGCGCTCTGACTCTGACGCATGTCCTGTGATAATAAGCAATCCCCTAGCGACGCCAACCCAAATAAGAGTAAAATTCCGGAACAAACCCTTAGAGACTTAAATTTGTCCTTTTTCGGTTTTGTTTCGGCTATCTAAGATACACTTTAATATTTTTATAAGTTACGTGGTTTTCGAGATATGTAAATAAAACGGGTTGGGACCAGCATGGATGAAGGCGAAGGTGAAAACTCCAGTCAGTGCTGAATATTAAAATATCCACTAAAGATGTAGAATTGTAAATATAACAAGCTATAGGGAATAAACTCTCCTTTCCAACTAGCTGTAACTATAATTTATAACTTAATACGCTAGGGTTCCCGAGAAATAAATCATTGAACTTGAACCAAAAGCACACTTTGTGGTTTCCCATATTTAAGTACTCTACGCGGTGGGCACGGGGCTTACGTTCCCTAGCCCCGAGGTCAAATCCCACACCGCGCTACACGTGGTTTCGTAAAAGACTGGCTTACAATGCAATATACATACATACATATATATATATATATATATATATATATAAATATATATATATATATATATATATATATATATATATATATATATATATATATATATATATATATATATATATATTATATGATTATGTTCAGTTGACACAAACAAATTTTCGTCAAATTTCGTTTTCAATGCATTATTGTGTTGTACTAGTCTATATAGTGATATAGTGTGGTCAAAGAAAAATTTTGTCGAAAATATGATCGTGTGAACTGAGCGTAAGTCCCAGAAGATGTGCGAGTGAGACATTGTGAAAATCTGCTTATAATGTAATAGGCCTACCTAGGGGTGGTGTTGGTTGGGAGAAGGGTCGTTCAAATGCGAACAAGGAGGGGAGGAGGTGTCAATGGACATTTTTTTGTAATATGTAGCTTCAAGTCCACTGTATGTATTCCAGTAGGTGTTGCTTTAGGCCCACTGTGTGTATTCCAGTAGGCGTTGTCTGCAGAAGAAAGCGTAGCGCCTAAACTTTTTAAAAATTGTCCTGTCTTGTTATATTTCAAGTCTTATCATACAGTATAGAATTCCACTATTTCCTGAGTCTAAGCCGCAACCTCACTGACTTACGGACTGTTGGTCACATATACACAAATATACACTGGTATTTTTATTTTAACAGTATTATTATTATTGCCACATTCCATTAGTGGTAAACAGTGCAGCAAATAACCTACTCGGGGCAATACGGTTTATGATTTATGAAACTACACAGAGGCGTAATGAGGGTGTTTGGCGCCTGGGGACAAGATCAATTTTAAAGCGCCCCCTTTTCTTTTTTTCAACTCTCAAACCCATTATTTTTACCAATAATATGATATCAAAGCACATTTTGGCGCCCCTAACTAGCTGGCGCCCGGGGACATCTGTCCCCCCTGCCCCCCCTCGCCACGCCTCTGAAACTACAACGCGACCGTCCATCGTTCATATTAAAAAGGTCCCGTCTATATTATATTTTACGCGATGAATCAGATGAATTACATAAATGGACTGCCTGGAAACGAAGAAGAGCTCGCCAACCTATGTAAAGCGTCTCGACAAGACTTCATCGTCCTTTAGCACGAAAATCAGTGCAGAGAAGACAGAATTGATGACGAATAGCACCACCGCCATTGCCACTGAAATTAAGGTCGGGGGGTGAAGGACTAGAGACAGCAGGCAGCTTCAAGTACCTAGGAGCAATAGTTTGGGAAGAAGGCTCCAAGCCCGAATTGATGTCCAGGATTGCCCAGACCACAACAGCACTAAAGAGGCAAAAAGGAAAAACAAAAAAAAAAACCCCCCCCCCCCCCCCAGCGCCAAAATCAGGCTGATTGGCTCATTAGACCTCTCCATTTTCTTGCATGCCTGTGAGTCCTGGACATTCACAGCAGAACTTGAAAGAAAAATAAAGGCGATGGAGATGAGATGCTTTAGAAGCATTCTTGGAATCTGTTAAAGAGACGATATCTCCAATGAACAAGTAAAGGAAAAGATTCGTCAAGCGATTGGGCAGTACGATGACCTCCTGGTGACTGTAAAAAAAAAAGCGCAAACTGGAATGGTATGGCCACGTGACAACATAACAAGGGCTCGCCAAAGAAATCATGCAGGGCACAGCGAGAGGAGGGAGAAGAAGAGGAGGACAGAGAAAAAGATGGGAAGATAACATCAAAGAGTGGATGGGACTAAAACTAGGCGATGGTGCTCGAAGTGCAGAAAATGGAATGGAGAAGGGTCGTTTTCATGTCATCTGTGGCACCCCAACGGTACTAGGACTAAGGTACATAATGATGATGATGAAGTCTATAGTCTTTAGCTCTACTGCATAAAATGTAATTTAAAAAAAAAGATTGAAAATGAGGCTTTATTATTTTTTACAACTGATATTTAACTTTTAAAAAAATTAATAAAAGTATTTGTATTACTATATTCTGAATTCTGAACTGAACGTAAATATTTAACAATTGATTTATTAAAATTTGGCATAAAATAACATAGCTTTAACAGAATATCCGGGTACTTTACTAAATTCAGACCAACTTCCGGATTCTTATATTTGAGAATTAAAGATACGATGTATCAAAGTGGAGCGAAAAGGCCTTTAGGGCTTAGTGAAAGTAATATTTTTAAAATTTTTATTCTTTCATTTGTATCCAAATGTGATTATTTAGCATATTTCAATTATTATATTTTGACTTAACATAATCTATAGATAAAATATGTTTTCTAAATGTGTCACTGCCGTAGTTGCGTCGCAATCAAAATGGCGGATTACTTGCCACTTGGTTTCAGCATGACACTTTATACAATATTGATAATTGGGCACTCCTCAGAACAGCGGTCCCAAATTAAAATATAACGTTTCTCGAAATATTAATTTTAAAAATCATTTTTACCTCATGGAACGTCATTAAAATTATTTTTAATAGTAAAATAGCATCTTTTTGTTGTAAAACAACAATGACTCAATGACAAATTTTACAAAATCAAAAACATTAAATTTTAAAGAATCTTTTGTCTTTTATGGTGACATTGTGGTAAATTGAGGAGAACTCTTCTGACTACGTTATAATTTATGATATAAAAATTGCCCCATTGGATGCATCTAGATTAAAATAAATACGAAGTGTCTACACGTCCGGCGCGCCGGACGTGTAGTGCGCAAGATACACGTCCGGCGACTTGTCACGTGACCGCCGGACATGGCCGGACGGCTAGTAGTTTTTAAAATTCCAAACGAAGTACGGTTTTGTACATCTTGTGTGGTCTTGTGCTAGAGTGGTTGCTTGACGATAGGAAGGTTTGAGGATCTATACCAGGAATGCGGTTGTTTTTTTTTTCTTCCCATTTTAATTAAAAATATTTTATATATATTTTTATTATCATGTTCCTCAGCAACGGTAGTTTCATGAGAATTTTTTTTAAATGTTGTAGCAATTGAAACAATTTAAAATGAAATCTTTTACTTTTATTGGTTGCGTACTCCACACTGGCCCCTAATTTATTTTATGGATTACTGGTATACAAATTCAAATAACAAACTAAACAAAAATGTTTACAAGCCACTTTCACTTAAGTTTTTTTTTTCTATTATTTGCATTCAAGATACTCAGTACATTACTTGGTAGAGAAATAGATTTTAAAATTAACAATAGTTTTGAATTATTCGCAGTCACGTGACAAGGCTGACCAACAAGATATCTCTCGCGCTTTGTTACGGCGGTCATGTGACTTGGTCGCCGGACAAATAGTGCGGGAGATAGACGTCCGGCGCGTGTAGACACTGCCTTTATTTTATTACTTTAAATTGACTTTAATTATGTCTATGTGTCCGATATTTCTTTCTTAACAAATGGTGGGTTTACAATTTTAAATATTTAGGTCTCACATATTTTAGGTATCTTTTATTGGTTTATTATTGTGTAATAAAGGTCTTGTAAAATTGGGTATTCACAAATATTGTTTTTAGGTAATTTAAGAGAGAGCGGCCCGCATCTATTTCCATGGCCGCCATCTTGGTTGCCTCGACTCGCGCACTTTTATGTGTTCACGGGTCGAGGCAACCAAGATGGCGGCCATGGAAAAATAAAAAAATTCACATTTGCTAAAATTTGGAAGAAATCGTTTAAAATGTATGAAAAAATTGTCTTAAATCGATCCCTATGCCTAACCTGAACCCTAAATCTATCCCTATGCCTAACCCTAAATCTATCCCTATGCCTAACCCTAACCTTAAATCTATCCCTATGCCTAACCCTAAATCTATCCCTATGCCTAACCCTAAATCGATCCCTAAACCTAACCTGAACCATAAAAACTAGCCGTAAATCCACGAGTCACAAGTAAAAACACGTGGAATTTCACTCTTTGGCAAGAGAACTATAAAAATTAACAAAAAACAATAAAAAGGGGCCCCAAACAATTATAAAATAAAGAAATAATGAAAATCCAACTTACAGATTCATGAAATACACTTTTACACACTTTATTTCAGGTTCCAACGAAAATATAGTCACAAAATGAATAAATCTCCACACCCCACAGGAACCCCAAAGATATCAAATATGGCGGAACAAAAGAAATATGATAATGAGCCAACCAATGAAAATTTTAAAATTATAATTAATCAACCAATTAAATTTTAATTCCGAAAATGTAACTCTTTTAACAAAAAATAAGAAAAAATAAGGGGAGTGAATCGAAAACAAAGTCGTCGTGGGCCGCTCAATCTGAAATAGCCTGTTTTTAAATTAATTCACAAATAGTTTTTACAATAAATAAGACTTTATTTAATTTCTGAAAATTCGGTTAAAGGCACCAGACACTAGTCTTTTTAAAAATGTTTAAATTTTTAAGACAGTTTAGTTGTTTTTAATTTTTAAAAAATATATGTAATCTTTGTACTGTACACATTTTGCTCCAGTAGTCCGTAGGGGGCACTTGACTTTCCCGGGGGGGGGGGGGTGGTGCCCCCCCCCCCCCCCCCTTCTGAGATTTACCTGAAACAAACCCTGTCTGAATCTGACCTAATGGTCTATTATTTTTACATTACTTCAACAGTCCGAATATTTATTTAGGTCTGAGACTGGCAAAAAATCTGGCCATGCATGGGCTAAATAGACCAAAGCAACCAACTAACTTTGTAAATATATGTTTTATGATAAAATTGCACTTTAAAACCACCGAAAATACATGACAAAACAATTTGGAAAACAATAAATAGATGTTAAAGTAGCCACAGAAGTGTTTTAATATAGTTCCATGAGGTAAAAAAATGTGTTTATTTCTGTAGAAATAATAAGGGATTGCCGTTCTGAGGAGTGCCGATAATTGTATACATGTTACCACCGATATTTCAACCAGATTATTCGTCTTTTTATTTTGGATAGCATATTTGGCTACAATCTTATGCTATTTCATTTGCTCTCACACTGAAACTAAACTAGTTACTGTGAAGCTAAGTATTTCATTTCAGTAAGTAGTAAGGGAAGGGAGACTACTGACAAAAATTTATGGGCATCGGCGCAGAGAATCCAAGTTTTAAATTTTTGGATGTCTGTGCTTTTGCATGAATGAAAGGACTATTTTGTCATAAAATTGTGATTTCTTTCACTTGTTCTGAGTAATGATTAGGCAGTAAGGGACATCTTGACCTACATTCCAATTAGTCTTTGCCTTTCTTGATCGACCTTAATTTTTGAAATTCATAGGTAAATAATAATAATATTAGACATGTTTCTTGAACATTTTTTTTGAAAAAATAAAAAGATCATGTATTCATATTAAATTCTGATGATCATTATATATTTAATATAATATCGATGTATATGTAGGTACTTTAGTACAAAAACTGATGTTACAGTTATTTAGAGCAAATTTCAAATAAAAATGGAACAAGAATCAACTTTTTATCTTAAGTACTTTTTGTGCTATGAATTTTAAAGTGTTCGTTTGGTATTTTTTACGATGGACGAAACCTTAAATTCTTGTGACCTCATTCTGCTGATCACGTCATGCGCAATGACTATATAGTTTATATAAGACACCGCATCCCCTTATCACTAAAATACTGTTTAGGGTCGACTTTCTTTAAACTTTCAACTTTGACACATGAATAATTAATTAAAGTTTTCCCAGACCAATGGTTTAATAGTTTTTGCACATTCCAGTTTAAATGTCTTCAAAATGCATTCGGAACACAAGTTATCAAATATTTTGATGTAAATAGTGGTAATAATTAAATATTTCCTAAGCATCAGCATCTTCCTCCATTAAAAAGGGGGCGTGGCATACACTATCCCGAAATTAGGCTGAGCGACCTTATGGTAATGTGGGTCACTGGGACAAGCCTAACGAATGTCGGACACGACCTACATCAATGAGAATTGGCACACGTATACTTCAATATCTAATACTTTTCAATTTTTAAGATGAAAGATCTTTTCTTTTTATTTCACAAAAAATTTTGTATGCGAAGATGCCTTATATATACCAAAGATTTTAAAACTAAAGGTTGATTCAAAAACCAAAATAGCTGGATGGAAATGTAGGCCAAAGTGAAAAGGGGGACATGGAACTCGATCAAATTTCAAAAAGACGCATTTATGAAGTTGGATTCTACTGCGCTGACGCCCATTTCCAATACAAATTTTGAAGTAGTCTCCCTTGCTTTACCTAAGTATCTAATATATGTGTGCCAATTCCTTATTATGCTTGTCCCGGTAAGTTGAGTAACCTGGGATTATCACAAGGTTTCTCACCCCAATTTTTTAGTAGTCTCCCTTGCTTTATCGAAGGAGCTAAATACTAGGTCCTGTGACAAAATTTGAAAATAAAGTTACAGCTTTAAGACCTAGTTATTTAGACAAGAATTGATACCAAATTTATGGTTGTATGTAAATTCTAAAGAAAGTTCTGATTTTTTTGTGTGAATTATTTTAGGATAATGAAAAAATTTAGACATAGAAAATATGTAACTTAAAAGTGACTAAAATAAAAACTGGGCATAGACTTTTTGAAAGCTGCCACTCCTTGATCGCATGCTTTTACTTATTTTCACGCTTTAATAAACAATGGTATCCAAGGAGGAAATTTAGATTATACCCATGTGCCACTCAGCACTGTTTTGAAGCTTTAATAAAATTGTTGGAAAGGGGGGGGGGGTGAATTGTCCATTCTTGTGGATAATTGGATGCTTTAAAAAGTGAAAATTGTAGATGATTGAGCACATACGAGCAATTATTTAAAACTAACCAATGTTCAACTTGACATATTTTTACAAAAGCATAATTTATTTTGTTAAACATTGTATTGTAAATGTTTCCTCCAAATTTGATAGCTCTAACTTTAATAGCCAAAAGGATACAAGCAAACTAGTACAAAATCAAAAAGAGTAATAATGCAATCACAGTTTTAAAAGTTTAATACAAAGCCGAGTAGTGAGGTAAAATAAATCACACAAAAAAATTCATAACTTTTCTCCTTTAAATGATAGAAAGATTATCTTGGTGTCACTGGAAAGCTTAATTAAAGCTCTTTCCAATGATATGCTCTTTGTCTGTGTCTGATGTATTTGAAAATTTGAGTTGGAGTATCTAAACACTGCAATGATTTGTAACTGGCAGAAAATAGGATTCATTTAAGTACCTACCTTAAAATTGAATTAGTCATGAAAATATTTTTGGTAAATAGGCCTTGCATTACCACATGGCTACAGAGATCTCAGACCATATGAATTATGGTAGACTTTACACTACAGAGAACTCTTCATTGTTTAAGTTAATAGAAAGGCATCTCCACAAACATGTTTAAGGCAGGGCTCACAGTAAACGCTTGCCTAAAGTGCTGAATAATCCAAATTTATAGAGAACTCTTCATTGAGTAAACGGAAACGCACTCTCCTTATACATATTGATAAATGGCAAGGCCAAGACACAGAGTAAATCATGGTGAACGCTTAGGACATTCAAGGATCATCGCAATTTAAAGACAAAGTTCTCAGTTCTGAGACCTTCTCAGTTTGACGTTTATCTCTCCTTGTAGGCCTATTAAAAGAAAATTTATTCACACCTTTGTTTTCCCAGCAGTAAGTTTTTTGTAGGCCTAAGATTTCCTTGTGTAAATTTTTGTGTATTACTTTTTTTTTCTTTAGATGGTCCTGATGGCTGGAATAGTGGTGAAGAACAAAGCAATAGTGGTGATGGCCTTAGTTTATCTGATCGTAAGAAAAAAAGACGAAGTCGTTGGAACACTGAGGAAGAAAAGATTGTAATACCCGGAATGCCCACTGTTATTCCTTCCAATTTATCAGAATTACAGCAGAGGCAATATGTTGGTATGTTAATTTATGGTCTTTTGATTCAATTTAGTTATGTTTCACCAGCATAAAAGTGTAGAATTTGTTTTAATATACATTCTATGCCACTGTGATTCTACCCGCATTACAATTAATGATTGAAATGTGTTATTTATGCAGCAGTAAACAAGTCAGTTTAGTTTTTAGACTAAATTCTATTTATTGATAATATTAATTGATATGTATGTTTTGTCCTGCTTTGTTACATTAAAATTTCAGTTCCATGAACAATATAACTTTTTTTTTATCCATTATTAAGCTCTTGTGTATTACAAATGCTGTATTTTGAGTTATTTCAGAAATTAATTTTCACGAAATTTATAATATTGATATCTTTTGTATATGACTATATATTTATACATACAAATGGTAATTTTTATAGAATAAGAATGGTATAAACAGAAGTTCTAGGTTATTTATGTACTGAATATGATTCATATGATCAACATTTTAAATGTTGCCCTCTGATGTTGTTTTTAACATTGCTATGCTACGGTATAATGTTGGCTTTTGTTAACCCCTTTTATTGCAGTTCACCTTCAAATTGAGGAAATAACCCGTAAGCTGAGAACAGGAGATCTTGGAATTCCTGCTAATCCTGAGCAAAGGTTTGCTTGGTTAAAAAAAAAAAATCCCCTCTTTGGTTACATGTCGAGATCAAAATGGGACCTCCCCCCAAAAAAACAAATGATTAACCCAAACCGCTGCTCAATTTATAGGACAGACACGACTCTCAGCTACGGTCAGACTTGGAATGTAACTGTGAAGCTCTTTTGCAGCTTTAATCCTACCATCCACTTCAGAAAAGGATATCTATGCTGCTTTGAAACAAAACCAAAAAAAAAAAAAAAAACAGTTTGAAAATTGTATTCACTATTTTACAAATATCTTTCCTCACTTAAACGTTGAACCACTTCAGAAAAGGATATCTATGCTGCTTTGAAACAAAACCAAAAAAAAAAAAAAAAAACAGTTTGAAAATTGTATTCACTATTTTACAAATATCTTTCCTCACTTAAACGTTGAAAAGCACTAAGATATCCTTAATCACAGCATAATAAAGGTAACAACAGTTGTAATTTCTGTGACTCATTTGCTCATCAACAAAATCCAGCAACAGGTCCACCACTTCAGGTGCTTGGTGTATTGCAGTAACCTTTGGGTTTTTTTTTCAGCTAGGACGAAAAGATAATTATACAAATATTCTATTTGCTGACTTAGGGCAGTCAAATAAAGCACTAATACATTTACATTTTAACTTGATCTTATGTAGAGTAAGTGTTTTCTCATAACATTTTTTTTAATAAGCCTAACAACCTTGCACATTAAGTCTTGGTTAATTTTTTACACCTTTTAGATATATATGATTTTAGGAAGCATCTTAAAACCCAGTTTAAAAACGTGAAAGGCCGTTTAAACAAGAATTTCAAATAGTTTGAGGAAATATTTTGCGATTTGTATGGTTTTGTGGGAGGTTTTCTTTCTTTGAATGCCAAGATTTCGGGTTCATGACTCTCATCATTGATTCTTAGCTAGTGGTTTATAATATTATATTCTGGTGTATTTTTTGTGATTGTTTTTATATAAAATGTCTGATAATAATCAAAATGAACCTTACAACTAATTATGTGCAGAAAAAAGGTGTTGGCAAGGTGTCACGCAAAGGATAATGGCATTATTAAGTTTGTGAAACTAATGAACAAAGTCTAATTTTGATGCTAATTTATCTTTCTTTGCTAATCACCTTACAGGTTAGGTCATTTTTTTAGGAAGAGGAAACAGCCGGTCATATTACACTTATTCAAATATGTGCAGCCTAGTTGTAGAAATATTTTTCTTCCTAATTTTTTAAATATTTTTTTTTTGTCGTCTATTTTAATCTTAATTTCCTGACCAAATTTATGCCGTAATCTTCATCACCAAATTCCTTTTTCTAACCAGAGAATATTTTAATTAATTAATTGTTTTACAGAATTACATAGAAAAAAAAAATGCAAATTAAAAAATCCTATCAAATCTGCCATTAACTTTTTAAGCGGTAAAAGTTTAAAAATTTCAAGGCTATTGTGAAAGGCTTCAATAAATAGATGCTTTATTGATTTTGTTTTAGATCACCTTCTCCAGAACCTATCTACAACAATGAGGGAAAGAGGTTGAACACTCGTGAATATCGAACACGAAAGAAGCTGGAAGAAGAACGCCACAAACTTATTCAAGAAGCAGTTAAGCTGAATCCTGAGTTTAAACCACCTAGTGATTACAAGTATGTGTTTAGTTAAGTCTACAATGAAATCCTAAATGGTGTTAAATATTTCTATCTGTAAATGTTTGCAAAATGTTGCTGTTCTAAGCGCTGTCCCTTTCTTTGCAGACCACCAGTAATACGAGTTAGTGATAAAGTAATGATACCTCAAGAAGAGCATCCCGATATAAACTTTGTTGGATTGCTAATTGGACCGAGAGGAAACACATTAAAAACTTTAGAGAAAGATGTAAATATTATTATAAGTATTAGAATAATATAATCTTTTTTTAAAATATATTATTTTACTGGTCTTGAGACCCAAGTCTTGAGTTTGCTTAAAACTAAGTTACTTTCTTTGGGAATGCTTGTTGGAACCCATATGTTTCCTTTCAGACCGGAGCAAAGATTATAATCAGAGGCAAGGGATCGGTAAAGGATGGCAAAATTGGACGTAAAGATGGCCAGCCATTGCCAGGAGAAGACGAACCTCTGCATGCTTATGTCACGGCTAACAATCCTGAAAATGTCAAGAAGGCTGTTGAAAAAGTAACTTATTTCTTAACTGTTTTTGAAGCTTGTGCAGCATGTGACTTCATTCTACATAAAAAAAAATAAACCACACCTAATATTATTAATTTTTTTTTTTAATTTGCAAGCAATTTTAAAAAAAAAATAATTTAAAATCTTTTGTTACATGCAATTTATTTTAATGAGATTGTAAATATGTACATTTAGATCAAAGACATAATCAAACAAGGCATTGAAGTCCCAGAGGGTCAGAATGACCTTAGAAGACAGCAGCTGAGAGAGTTGGCTTTGCTAAATGGTACTCTGAGGGAAAATGATGGTTTGGCGTAAGTTATTTAATGTACCTTAGATTCCTCATTATTCGTAAGCCTTATATAATGAATTTGACATCATTTTAGGGCTCTACTGCATAAGTCAGATATTATATGTTTTAAATGTATTGACCCGATAAATATTTCAGGCAAATAGTGAAATACTGAGTAATTTTTTAAACCAAAATATATCTACTTTAACATGTCATGATGGCCTGGCGTAAGTTATTTAACGTAACTTAACAATATTCTTTATATAACGAATTAGATATTATTAGAACTCTACTGACTAAATGCATTTGGCCTGGTAAATAGTTCAAGAAACTAGTGAAATACTGAGGAATTTTTTAAAACCAAAATATGGCGACTGTAAAATGTCATAAGCAGATCTACCTCAAAAATTTTTTGGTCTGATTTAGCAGTGTTTTCATAGTCTCTTGGCATTAATTTCATCCAAGTTATGAATAAATCTCTTTATATCCCTTAAAAAATGCAATTTTTATTTGATTTAAATCAATGGTTATGTTCTAAATATAGTTTTGAATCCTTCAGCACACATTAAAAAACAATTAATGCCACTATCATACTTGTCAAAACATTTAATTGAATTTTGATTAATGAATAAAATGTATGCCAATAGTTGCCTAGCACAAAGTACTACATGATGTCAATTATTATTTAATTCATATTCATGTTCCAGATCTTTGTTAATGTACATAAAGCCAATATAGATATTCCTTGCTCTTTCTGTAGAGTCTTGATTTTAAATGTTTTAAATGGTTAGATAGCATTGTAAATAAGTTAAAAAACATCATATTTCACACTTGTAGGAAATTGCGCCAGATTGCAGAGAGTCAGACTATTGTTACCAACACAATTATCTGTACAGTTTGTGGTGGGACTGGACACATTGCCCAAGATTGTAAACAAAAGAGGTAGGTTGCAATTTATGATTGGCTCATGATTTAGAACACAGGTTTTTGTGATTTCAAAGCTATAACTGCTGGCTCAGTGTCTAAATGTCTTATTATCCACAAAAATTTAATTACTTGTGACTTTTCATTTGATTTTTTTCTCTTGAAAGGCCAGGGGATACATTCCGCATGCAACAGATGCAGAACCCTGCAGAGAGGGCCAAAATGGACAGTGAGGTAAACATAGCGATTAATTTTTTACAATTCTTTTATACATATTTACAGTAGCAAAAATACTAGAAAAAATATTTTTAACGTTATTAATAATTGCAAATATGAAACATAAATATCATCATACGTCTGAAAAAAAATAATTATATGAATATATCTCAAATTAGTACATGTCCTTGATGGCTGAGCTCGGAGAAGGTCCACCACCACCAAAATCAGAGGCTTCCAACCCTAATCAGCCAAATTTTGGTCGACCACTATTGGCAAATCCACCTCCAAATCCAATGGTAAGTAGATATTAAAGTTTTAATAGCCTGAAGTTTTCTTAACAACAGAACTGTGAATATTGGCTTACTTTGTTTATTGCAACCTGTACATGTATGTATTTAGTATTCTTTATTCTACTATTTAATCCAAAATTCTGTTAAATAATTCATACTAAAGAGATGTCAAAATTTTGCTGTTCTGAACACATTCCCTCATATATTTTCTTTGCAGACCACCAGTTACCTTATAGAACACTTTTTTAATGCTTCATTTTGTTAAATATAACCAAAGAAGCAATGATTTGACTATTTAGGAAATAAAAGAATTTATTACCATTGGGGTGGTGTCAAGTTTAATTAAAGTTGTTTTACAATTTTATTTACATATACCTCGTAACAAATAAGTACCCAATATATAAACTTTTTATTAACACTTATAAATGAATTTTTCTAATTGCATTAAAATAGGCCATGAATTCTCCATGGCAAATGAACAGACCACCAATGGGTCCTGGAAACTCTGCCCCATTGCTCAATAGACCACCTATGGGAATGCAACAGAATTCACCGCAAATAAACCCACTTGGTCGCCTGCCAGTACCACTTATGTCTACTCCATTGCAACCACCCCCTGGTATGCAGGCTCCTCCGGGACTATTGCCACCTCCAGCTGGCCAACAGCAGCAGCAGTCCATGATGGGTGGAATGGGAAATATGCCACCAATGCAACAACAGCAAAGCCAGAACATGTTACGTCCCTGGCAACAGCAGCAATCTCAGTCGATGGGGCCTCAAGTAGGGCAACAACAGTCAATGATGTCTATGAACAATCAGATGACACCGACTTCTGGTTCTTTAGGTATATAAATAAGTATTTTCTAGTTTTCACTTCAGTAATAAATAATTGCTGAACATTTTACCATCCTTTTATTATTTTGAGACACTACATGAATGTTGCTTTTCTACAATATATTTATTTATTTTTTTTAGCTATGCCTCCACCACCTCCATCTTTACTGGCTCCACCACCACCTCCACCCACGAGCAGTCAGAACCAAGTACAGTCCACACCTCCTTGGATGCAACAAGCACATGCAGGTAAGACACCTTTACTGACTCCACCACCGCCTCCGCCTCCTCCACCACCACCAGTGAGCATATCATATGAATCGGCATTCACATCCAACCCAGTCAGTGCCCAGCAGCAGCAGCAGAATATTCTCAAGATCCAAAGTCAGGCAAAGCAGAACAATGGAGGAATGGGGAACATGTCAAATCCAAATTTAATGATGAATAGGGCTGCCTCACAAAATATGAGCGGTCTTGGAGGTGCATCTAGCCTTCTTGGCAATGCAGCAAACATGTCAAATCAAAGAAACCAGAGTATGATGAACCAAAATAATTCAATGATGAACTCCCAAAATATGTTTCACCAGTCTGGCTCTAATAATTCCAACCATCAAGGTCAGATAATGAATAGAGGAAATAATCAAAATATGTTTCATGGTTCAGCTCAGTCTCCTGTACATGGTAACTCCCAGCATGGGATGCACTCTGGCAACATGTTTCCCAATCAGGCCAGCAGCACCCAAATGATGAATAAGGGAAACATGATACAGGGGATGATGAACCAAAATAATCCACAAAATAATGCCAATCAAGGCAACTACTCCATGAATCAAGGGCTTGGGCATCCAAACATGAAAATGAATCAGGGAAATTTTCCTCAAAATTCGGGGATGAATCAAGGGAACGTCTCTCAAAATTCTTTGAATCGCAATGATGTTGGAGATGATCAAAACAATTCTCATGTTAACAGAAACTCAAACATGTGGAACTAAACATTAATTTCAAATTAAAATCATTATAAATTTTATTAAAACTGACTATTTGACATTGGCTATAAGGGCTGAGTGTCATGTATAATGTTTGACTTCTGCTACTAAAGAATGCATTGTGTTAGCTTTCCCCTGTTTTTTCAGAGCATTTAATTGTAACTTCATGCTATTTAGATGAATTATAAAGATAGATTTAATCCGCTATCTTATCAAAGTCTTAGTTTAAATTTCTATGATTGATGAAGACCCTGAAAGTTCCTATTTTAATTGATGGGCTTTGAAACCAACGAATCTGACCCTAATTGGAAGCATACTTTAAATAATCTAGTAAATTTTTCTACGCTTTTGTGATCTAAAATCTCTTTAATATTAGCTAGAATATATTTTAAAGCATGAAAGAAAATGCCTTTTGGTAGCTATTGGAAGTCATTGATTTTGGTTTGTCCACTACCTTTGTATTTTTTATTTCTGCGTATTATCAGTATATGATTTTGATGATTGATTACAATTTTATGATGTTAAGTCCCCTACTTACACAGATTTCAGTTATTTTATGCTGACTGTATAGTCTATTTTCTTCTTCTTATTATGATTTTCATTTTGTGTGGACATTTTGTAATAAAAAATATTCAGTTGAAGAATCATATTTAACTGAACAAAATTCCGAAAGTAATTAAATCTGATTATTTAACCGTTTAAGTATTTTGAAAATAAGCTTTCAAACCTATTGTGTGAAAAGTAACCATTTCATTGTTTATGTCTGAATTTTAACTCATATATTATAAACTGTTATTTTTTATTTACATTTGTATTAGATTAAGTTGTGTCAATTGTGCATTGTTATTGTACTATGAGTTCAGTTTAGTGGCAAAGTTTTTTAAAAGGAATGGATATAAGTGCGTGGTGAAGCCACCTAATTATGATAAAATTACACTTTAAAATTGATCAAAGTTTGTCACCAATTTAATTCTTTATGTGGCGTTTGTCTTTAAAAAAATGCTGCTCTATGATTTGTGCTTGTATTTAAAAGCTTATTTTTTTATGATGTCATTAAATTAAATGATCTTTAGTGTGAAGCCCTTAAAACTACTTTATCCTAATGGAAACAATGGATTCATCAATAGTTAGCACGTTTAAATCTATTACAGACATAATTAAATTAGACTGACTTTCATCACTTGATTATTACTGAACCCCTTAAAATATTCAAGAAAATAGTGGAACAAGGTATGTGCAAACTTGAAATATAAAATCAGGTCAATCAAAAGAGAATGTTGTGGCCAAGAGCCTTCTTTGGTAAACAACAATAAAAACATTTACTTTAAGAAAGCATCTCCTTGGTGTTGTTAAGTAAAGGCAAGGTAAAAAGGGTATACAGGTAATTTTCATACCATTGATGCATTCTTTAATAGGGTTTTTTTCATTTCGTTAGTATACAAATTGCATTTCCATTTTTCATAAACAATCCAGCTGTAATGGGCTTCAAGAGTGTTTGGAGCATTTGATTTAAAATGTTTATTATTATTTTAGTTGATGCTAAGTCATGCATATGTATGCTGTCATAGAAGTTACTAACACTGATATTGTATTGAAAATGTTTTCAATGCTTAAATTGTTTGGTGAAGGTCTAAGACAATATAAATGCTTTAGCCAGAAAAATAGATTGTTCAGCACAAAAAAATTAATTGTTTAGCACATTAATATGATGAATTGCCAGATTCCTCTCCACCCCCACCTTCTAAACCCCTTCAAAGATTGAAATTAAAACTGCCATACTTCTAACCAAGATGATTGTTTGTTCATAACATATTTTTCCTCCCATTTTGTCAGTAAATTGTGGTCAATGGTGGGGAATAATTTTTTTCCCCTTTAATTCAGTCTTTCCTTTTTGGAATGTTTGTCATATTGATTGATTTCATTGGTTTGCCTATGTTATGGTCATCACTTGAGAGGTTTCTGTTTTTTTGTTTTCTTAACAATGTATATTAAAAAATAATTTTTCTCTCATAAAGTTTGTGGTATTTTCAATAACATTCCCTTGCATAGAGGTAAATTGATTTCAAGTTAGTATTTAACGATTTTCTTTTCTTTTAATTTATTTTTGTTATGCTTTGATTTTATAATTCATTGTTGAGGAGTTTGGGATTTCAGACCTTTGTCTTTTGTCCTTTTTTTTTTTAAAGTGGGCAACCTCGTCTTTTATTATTTCAAATTATTGAAGCTTGGATTTAATTTATGCCATGGCTTAAATCCCATCCACAAGCAAATGATCCGCTTTTGCTTAGATGATTAAATGAAATAGAGCTGTCAATATAAACTTTTGTAGCTCAATGTGACTGAAGTGTCTGCTTAATTAATTGCAAAGCCATTTTAATGTCAACAAAATACTATCTGTTGAAACGTGACATCCCAAAAAAGATGGCTTTGATACAGCATTACTTTGGAGGCACTCGTTATTAAGGAATTTATTATATAGAAAATCAATTTAAATGTACATTGTCCTATAATAATTCAAAGGAAAGTTACACAGTCAATTACGTTTGCTTGTATATTCTTTTCAGTGGCATTATATGGATAATTGCATGTGATAACATGTCTAGCAGATGATGCTTTTTACCATATTATTTGTTTATTAACTTACATTTCTTTAAAGCTACAATTGGTGTGTCACAAATGGGAGCATAGTATTGTTTTTTTTGTTTGTTATTTTTAATAATAAATCAGATAACATATTTTCATAATGCTCTACCATATAAAACATAGTTTTTATTTTTAGTAGCACATATTTCTTAATTTTTATTTATTTTTTGTGAACGTAAATAAACAAAGCTTTAGAAAAATATTAGATGAATCATACAATAAATAATGGCAGTAGTGATTTTATTCAGTAAAGTTATAAAACCAAGAGAGTTCTGGAAACATCGGTTTTTGTTTTTTCCTCTAGGTAACATGGGTCTTCAGACACAGCAGCCACCACCTCCACCTGTGACCACACCCACAGCCCCTTGGCAGCAGCAACCCCCACAAATGGCACCGCCGCCTCCACCGGTTTCTTTGGCACCGTGGCAGCAGCCGCCGCCTCCCCCAACAGCCATGTCTATGTCGGCGCCGCCTCCTCCAGGCCCGGTCCAGCCCCCTTCCTTAATGACAACATCTGTACCTCCTCCTCCACCTCAGTCGAGTCCGGGCCACCAGTACAACACTTTTGCTCCGCCGCCGCCACCTCCTATGTCTTACAACAACCAGAGAATGGCCGGAATAAACCAGATGATGATGGCAGGTCCACCACCTCCCCCACCTCCTAGTTAGGATTAGAGTACAGATAATTAGGTATGACGAATTTATCAAGTTAAGTGCTGTGCAAGGAAGAAAGCTGCATACAGCATGTCTGTAAAATATGTACATTTGATCCCCGGTCTCTAATCATTTTGTTAATCGGTACGTATCCCAAGTTGACGTTATGTAGCTGGCACATGTCCCCAAGTTGACATGTTTTAAAATACATTGTACAGTAATTTGTTTTATAACAACCATTGGTACAGTATTCTGCAAGCCCCCTTTTTATGGTTTCTACTGCCACTGTATGTATGTATGTATATGGTTTTAATGGACTTGTATGACGGAATAAATATACTTACATGAAAGCTAGTTAGGATGAAACATAAAATGAGGGACACTTTTTCTTTAACTATGAAATGTTAAGATATTTTCTAAGCTTTTTAAAAACCAAAATGTGTGTATTGACAGCAATACATAAATATTGTTGTAATGTTATTGATAATGATCAAGTGAGTGGCATTAGGATTGAGTATCCTAAACATGTATTTATTATTGAGCTCCCAGGTTGTGTTCTTGTACCAAGGTGTTGGTGCTGTACATGTCCTGGCACTTACTTTATGCTTTAGTCTTAGGTTTTTTTTAAAGCTAGAATATTTTCAGGAAGTTTTGTGTTCACCTAAAAATAGTATTTATAGAAAGTAAATAAAGCGATACAATTAAGATGGAACTGCAATATAATTACTTATTATCCTGAAGATGATTACAGTAGTCTCCATCTCGTTAGCGTCCCGACATGCATTTTCCGAACAGATTGATTCTGCTATTGCTGAATATTACTTTTAGAAATTTGCAATAGATTTTCAAGTATTAAGGGTCTCTATGGATTGCATTCCTAGTTTTTATTAAGATAAGAAAGAGGTATTTTTTATTTATTTTTTGGACACAAACTACTGTTTCATTACCTGTCCTTGCATACCATTGAATAAGTTTGTTTTATTGCTCATTATGAGGAAATTGCAAAATTGATTAAAAAAATAATCAGTGAAATTCTTGTTGCTTTTTCTTTTTCTTTCAGAAAACATGAACAAATGTTTCAAATGTATTACTGGGGTTTTTGATCAATGAAAACAAGCATGTTGCATGTTACTTTGACATTAATATTAGCAATTATAAACGTGTGCCATAATCTTTCTTCACATTTTTATGCTTTTGTAGTGATCAGGTAGTAGAAACATTTATAAATTATTATTAATTTGTGATTCCCTGTATATTTCCTAATTTAACCTGGAAAAAAAATGTATCTTCCAAAAAATCTTGGCACATTTGATTTTTATTAACACTTTATGTTAACCTTTAAATGCAATATTTAGCCTCTGCAAAGACACAAACAAAACAATGGTTGAATCTAATTGCTGATCAACAGTTATACTAAAGTCCCATAACAGGATTGGCCGGAACAGTCTGGAAATGGAAATGTCTCTGGTATAATGTGGGCTTCTGTGGTAAATTCCAGGATAGAATTTTTGAGACCTGGAAATTGGACCTGAATCAAAATGAACAGGAAGTAAACAATGTGGTCTTTAAATATAATGAACACTAACTTATTTACACATGGAGGTACACAAGTTCAACACACAAAAAATGTATTCTAGACCAATGCAAATAGCCATGGCTTCAAAGTATTATGTGGATTGTTTCTAGATCCCAATATTGTAAATGTCCCATTAAAATGTAAAAGTGATAATAGTAATTAGACTGAATGAACATATTTTTATTTTTAAATAATTCCAAGAAACTTCTAAGACTCATTTAAGAAAATAATTAAGAGATAACTCAGTCTGACCTGGATGAAGAAGGCAGCCCAGCCTATCAGTGGCACATCTACCTCAGCCTGATACTGTAAGGCACTTAGCTGTGTGGCCGATTTACTTAACCACACCACAGGGTGAATTTTGCCTTCACCCGTGTTCGGATCTTTAACAGCCAGCCTGAAGTCACGCCTGTAAATACAATGCATACAAAAATGTTGCCTGTATAAAAATGTGTTAATACTATTGAAAATAACTGGTGTATTTATAAAAGTATTTTATAAGGAAGTATGTATTGCGATCAATGACATGGACAAAGAAAATTGATACCCAGTATCACTATCAGTAGTTAGTTTTCATTTTGGAGACTGCATCTGATTTTACATAATTCCAAAACTATCACTATTTAAAAACATACAAGTAAGTAGTTCCGTATCATGAATTGATCATTCTAGAAATGGCAATTATTTTTGGAGATTTCGCTGGAGTATAAACTGCTTAGAATTGTTGGAAGAAGTTGCAAAATGTTAGCGACCAAAATAAGTTTATGCTGCCAAAAAACAAGTTGAATTCATAGTTGGGGGGGGGGGCTGAGAGAGAGATTACTTTATAGAATGTTAACTGAAATTCTATATTTTAAGTTAAGCTTAGGCTTAGGAGTTATTGAACAATTAACAAACGTTCCCATATAAGCTAATAAGCTTGCTGGATTCATAGATTCCAGATTAAATTTACCTAATTCCATCCAAAGTTTTGGAATAATACACCGTGACATTGCTGGGGACCTCAGATGTGGTCAGTATAATTTTCCCACTTAGTGATGTCGAACTTCGTGTCCAAGTAATGCTTGGAAAAGTTGCTTTTTCCAAGATATTCAGGTAAAAGCTCTCAATAGCTAAAATATTGCTCATCATGTGACCAGTCATAGAGTGCTCTGCATTGGGGATTATCCTGGAAATTAGCAGAGATGAAAACATTTTAAATGGTTAGTTAAGGTGTGGTATTGCGAGATTTCATTTTTTGTGTGCTTTCTTTTATTTTGGAAAACCCTCTTCTTAATGTTAAATCGCTATTTAAAAATCCTTTGATAATATTTTTAAACACTCACAAAATTTGTGTAGATAAATTTAAGATTTTGACCTAGGCCTATATAGGATAAAATAATGTACATTCCATTCTTTTCGTTTCACTAATAAATACAAAAGTGGCTTTGAATAACAGCCCCCACTGTTAATTTACACAAACTTCAAGTGTAAACGGGTACTAACAAACTAATCATTAACTTGTACCAGAGTCTTGATAGTTTGTGAATCAACTTAGCATCTTTTGCACCATCAAGACCTCTTATAATTTCTTAAATTGAGCTTGCCTCAAGAATTTCGGACCAGGCAACTGGTCAAAGTAATAATAAGAGTCGTCAGGTAGGAAGAATTCATCCCCAGATGTTGTTACTATCATCTTGGGCATGGTGTATCTGTTGCTGTAGGCTGTACAAAAATTTTGTTTTTTAAAGTGTCTTATTGGTCTATTTCTTCAGTCGCATAACGACAGTTGATAACCTAAGAATATGAAAGTAACTTAAAATAACGGATGAGGATTGAATGATACTTAATAATAATTTTCGGGGATCATTCAGTAACTATTAAATTATTTGGGAACATTCAGTAACTATTAAATTTTTGGGGTCATTCAGTAACTATTAAATTATTGGGGATCATTCAATAACTATTAAATTATTGGAGATCATTCAGTAACTATAAAATTATTGGGGATCATTCAGTAACTATTAAATTATTGGGGATCATTCAGTAACTATTAAATTATTGGAGATCATTCAGTAACTATTAAATTAATGGGATCATTCAGTAACTATTAAATTATTTGTGATCATTCGGTAACTATTTAATTATTGGGGATCATTCAGTAAATATTTAATTATTGGGGATCATTCATTAACTATTTAATTATTGGGGATCATTCAGTAACCCTTTAATTATTTGGGATCATTCAGTAACTATTTAATTATTGGGGATTATTCAGTAACTATTTAATTATTTGGGATCATTCAGTAACTATTTAATTATTGGGGATTATTCAGTAACTATTTAATTATTGGGGATCATTCAGTAACTATTTAATTATTGGGGTTTAATTAAACACGTTTGATCGAAACTGGAAAAAAAATTATTTGGTACTACTACTACTACTACTACTACTACATGTATTATTAGTTATCTGTGGTAAAATGTGTACATGTACTATAACCTAATCTTATTTTATGACCAATCTCATGATATCGAATTTCTGTTAAAGAAAATCGCTCTTGAATCGCATTTTTATTTTTTTTTTTGTTGTTGTTGTGTAACTAATTTGATGGATATGGACGTTTTGGTGGATGCTTTAAAGAGTAGGATATCCCCGTTTGAGAAATGTGTATAAAGTACCAACTGGTGGTGAAGATTACTTAATGGATCAATAACGGCCTCCATCAAGGGCATGTTGGGACTGTCCAGGTCATAGGTGACGCTCTCGTTGTAGTAATCTTCAAATTCAAAAGTCCAGCCTCCGAGTGACCGATAGTGATGATGCATATTCTAAACAAAAAAACAACAAAAAAAAAAATTTAATACCAACATGCGTGCTAATTAGCGGATGATTAATGGGCATTCGGAAATATATATTTTTTAAAATGTTTGTTTAACTGCACGGTGGATTCATTCTCCTTTTCATTTAAACCTTAAACTGCTAGTAATGCGCCTGACCGCAATATGTATTCAGTCCAACGGTCTGACAACCGTTAGCTTTGACTGCGACGCCTAACCTTCTGCAGATTGAGCAAGTCCATCACCGTTGGCACCATTCCAATAACTCTTTTGTCCACTGCTGCTGTTGTCCACGTGGTCCATCCCCTCTGTCAGATAGAAAGGTATATTATGATGTCGTGTTCGCGTGCTGCAGTTATGTTACATAAAACTATGACTACGGTACTTATAGCTGAGTCAATTATGTTACATAAAACTATGACTACGGTACTACTAGCTGAGTCAATTATTTTACATAAAACTATGACTACGTTACTACTAGGTGAGGTCAGTTATGTTGCATAAAACTATGACTACGGTACTTATAGCTGAGTCAATTATGTTACATAAAACTATGACTACGGTACTTATAGCTGAGTCAATTATGTTACATAAAACTATGACTACGGTACTACTAGCTGAGTCAATTATTTTACATAAAACTATGACTACGTTACTACTATGTTGCATAAAACTATGACTACGGTACTAATAGCTGAGTCAATTATGTTACATAAAACTATGATTACGGTACTACTAGCTGAGTCAATTATGTTACATAAAACTATGACTGTAAGGACAACTGTCACCAGAGCAGGATACCACCAGAGCAGGGCGCCAACTGTCAGTAGAGCAGGGCGCCAACTGTCAGTGGAGTAGGGTGTCAACTGTCACCAGAGCAGGGCGCCAACTGTCAGTAGAGTAGGGCGCCAACTGTCACCAGAGCAGGGTGCCAACTGTCACCAGAGCAGGTAAACCACCAGAGCAGGGCGCCAACTGTCACCAGAGCAGGATACCCCCAGAGCAGGGTGCCAACTGTCACCAGAGCAGGGTGCCAACTGTCACCACAGCAGGATACCACCTGAGCAGGATGCCATAATTATGAGTGCTGGTTGACACCGGAGCAGGGCGCCAACTGTCACCAGAGCAGGATACCACCAGAGCAGGGCGACAACTGTCACCAGAGCAGGATACCACCAGAGCAGGGTGCCAACTGTCACCAGAGCAGGGTGCCAACTGTCGCCACAGCAGGATACCACCTGAGCAGGTTGCCATAATTATGAGTGCATGTTGACACCGGAGCAGGCCGACTCGAAGGGGGGTCCATGGGGAAAAGTCTGGCCAATGAGTTTACCGCTCTGGTTGACAACTCCAGTGACGCCACTGAGCGTAAGATGAAATACGCGACTAGGCAAATGACGTATACAATGTGAGAAGTGAGCTCGCCACTTGTAAACTAGTCAAGCCACTTGTAAACAAATAGCCACAATACATTTGGTGCGTTTCTAAATTACGCTGGCCAGATGCAGGCTTGCCAGAAAAAGAAATAGTTCATCAATAATATAATGCTTTAGATATAAAATTATTTATGTACATAGAGCCCTCATTAGCACTTTGTTGTTATTTTAACCCCTGTTCGCCGACCACAGTAATAACCCTTGACCTATCCCACTTGTCATGTGACCCATGACCTACTCACCTTTGACTCTCCTCCTATAACAAACTTGGTAATGAGATTTCCGCTAAAAGATTTTGCGAATTCGGACATTGTATCCATACCACGGACAACTGCCTGTAAGGGAAAAAAAGGTCCAAACATGAAATTATGTTTATAGTATGTCCATCACAGGTGATATTTGGCATTGAGTTTCCTTGTCTGGAAACGGAAAACAAGAACGGAGGCTGAAGTTCCAGTTTCTTTTAACGTATTAAGATATTTCCAATTTATATGAAAAGTGTGTTCTATATTTGTAAGATTTTTTCCTTGATTTAAACTTGGTTAAATTTTTTTTTAAAATTGTTTCTTGTAAAAAAAAAAATAGAGTTCCTTATTTTTAAATAACCGAATGATTTTATTTGTATTAATCAAAAGCTCACTGCCGTTGAATGCCATTTTAGAATCCTACCATTTGAACCATACAGGCCATGCTACCACTTGCAATAGTCTTATAATAAATGCAACAATGTTACGTCTGGTACACTAACAATAGAAATTGATTAAATCGTTGGACGCTAGCTCAATAATTTAAAAATTATTAAAATCTCTGATTCCATGAATAGCTCTCCAAGCACTTGGAGTTGAATAACTAATAGTAATAGGACTGAACTTTAAAAAAATAAAAAATGTTTAAAAAAAATAAAAAGATTGTTGTTGAAACGGCATCTCAAAGTTTATCAACAACTGAAATTTTCACTCGCTTTAGTCATCGGAAGACGAAGGAGAATTTCGGGGTTGGATCCGTTATCCAGGAATTTCCTCCAAGTCCAAGCGATGATGCTGTCTTCGTAACGCTGTTTCCGTGTTGGGTCGTCCTGTGGACAAGGGAGACAACAGCTGATGGCTTTTAAAGCACGCTATTTTCTTGCTTTATTCCGTCCCCTTAACAATATGTGTTGGAAATGACTCTCAGTGTGTATATTTGGGTGTGGCTAAACACTCATAATTCCCGGCTGTGAACCTTTATTTTAGGCCCCCCCCCCCAGCCCCATGTCATTAAAAGGAGTACTTGAAATGTTACCTGAAATACGATTGGTTGAAACGGTATCTGGTTGATGACGCCACAGACGGTCTTCGTCTTGATGGCGGTGGCCGTCATCATCTCGATGTGTTTGTCTGTGGCTGACGGGATGCTGGTGACGTAGTGACGGTCGGAAGCATGAGTGAACAACATTAAACAATGGTTGATTTCATTTAGGATTGTCTCTGCTGAGTTTTCACTAGTGATTCATCGAAACGCTAACTGGAAAATGCTTGACATAAACACCTAAACATAAACACCTACACATTAACACCTAAACATAAACAGTACCTAGGCTTAAACATTTAAACATACAATCTAAACATAAACATCGAAACATAAACATCTAAACATAAACACCTAAACAAAAACACCTAAACATAAACACCTAAACATAAACACCTAAAAAAAACATCTAAACATAAACACCTAAACAGAAACATCTAAACATAAACATCTAAACATAAACGCCTAAACATAAAAATCTAAACATAAACACCTACACATTAACACCTAAACATAAACAGTACCTAGGCTTAAACATTTAAACATACAATCTAAACATAAACATCGAAACATAAACATCTAAACATAAACACCTAAACAAAAACACCTAAACATAAACACCTAAACATAAACACCTAAAAAAACATCTAAACATAAACACCTAAACAGAAACATCTAAACATAAACATCTAAACATAAACGCCTAAACATAAAAATCTAAACATAAACATCTAAACATAAACACCTAAACATAAACATCTAAACATATTGAAAGCTCAAACCTAAATATTTGTTTGTTGTCGTTTACGCCTTACGCCCCCCCCCCCCTCGCAGAGCCTTTGAGCCGGCCCAGTTACCCCCCCCCCCACCCCCACCGCCACGCAGCTTCAGGGCCCTAAATATTTAAGGGGCCAAAAAGCTTTTACACTAAAATATTAACTATCTACCTTAATGCAAGGAAACAAAACTGAAAAAAAAGTGTCCAGGGGGTGGGTGACTACAAAAGTAACGCGATGGCTCTGTAAACCCCCCCCCCCCCCAAACCCCTCCCTTCCCGGTAAACATCTAAATCAAGCCTGCACAATTCAGAATGTAAGGCAGGCCGTTATACCTCATGAAAAAAAAACTTGTGCGGGCTGAAAGATAATAGGACATGGGCGAAAGCTATTAAGAAAATAATAATAATAATAAAGAATATTTCGTTACTTCGCGGGCGGGCCGCGAAGTGGGTGCTGGCGGGCCGCATGCAGCTCGTGGGCCGCATGTTGCACAGACCTGGACTCTATATCGATTGCCAGATTTCAAATTACAGAGGAACACGATGTCAAATCAAAATCAAATAGTGTTTTTAAAAAAATGCTAAAATGAGCTCATAAGCTAGACAGTATTATAACCTACCCATTGAGACTGCTGCCACTACTGATCCACAAAAAGCCCGTGTCCGTGTACTCTACCTCCTTTGGGATAATGACGCTGACGTAATGCCACCACACAGGAGTCGTCGTGACCTTATCTGTGGCAATTATTAAAAACTTAAAAAACGAAATTTACATTGGATAATTTCTGTTATAACTAATTTCATGTTTAAAAGATAGACCCTGACCTTTAACTTTAATCTCCACTCTCACCCCCCCCCTTTTTTTTTTACCCCCCCCCCCTCCCCGTGTATATAACAAAATAAAACAAATAAATAAATTCTCAGCTAGAAATTTACATTGGCTAACTTCTGTTAAAACTAATTTCATTTTTAAAAGATAGACCCTTCCCTTTAACTTTAATCTCCACTCTCCCCCCCCCACTTTTTTTTTTACCCCCCCCCCCTCCCCGTGTATATAACAAAATAAAACAAATAAATAAATTCTCAGCTAGTGAAAGTCTGATCGTCTGCTCCACAGCTATTCAAAGTCTGGCCGTCTAGATCTACTTGTAAGGTATTCAGGGGTCTAGACCAGGAGCGTAACTGGGTTTTTGACGCCCTTGGCTAATTTATTTTTGGCGCCCTTTTGTTTAAATAAAAAAACTAAAAATTAGAGATTTAGCGGCGCCCTTTTGAAATGGCGCAGGCCGGCGCCCTTGGCAACTGCCCCAATGCTAAGCCGTTGTTACGCCACTGGTCGAGACATCAGTTACTGCTTTGTGTTGAACTCACCTGTCAGCCATGTTTGTGAAGTCATATTCAAAATATAAATAGAGTAGTCGGGGCCTGTGATGGAGGTCAAGTACCTGTAGGTGTATGTGCTGTCTGGCTGATTGACATAATGGTCCAAGGGCGTTGCAGTTGTGGTAAGGACAACCGTGGCAACCACGACAGCGAGAAGTATTACGCCACTGCCCATAGTGTTTAGATAAAGTAAATAAAGTATTTCCAACACTGAAAGGAAACGATAGGAAAGCTTTGATTACAATATTGATATAAAATGTATCTTTGGCTACCTGACATCTTTGGCTACCTGGTATCTTTGGCTACCTGACATCTTTGGCTACCTGACATCTTTGGCTACCTGGTATCTTTGGCTACCTGGTATCTTTGGCTACCTGGTATCTTTGGCTATTTGGTATCTTTGGCTACCTGGTATCTTTTGGCTACCTTACTAGGAGTACGTGAGGGGCCGTCCATGAAGTATGTCACGCCTAGGAAGGGGGTGGGGTAGAGGCGTCTACGAAAGTGTGACAGTTTTTTTAAACGGTGGGGGGGGAGGATGGTATAGTTTCTATCATAACTATAAAACCTGAAGTTACCAATGATATTAAACTTTCTGTTGTGATAGATGTATTCTGACAGAAGATTTCAATTTAATAAATTTAAAAGTGGCAATTGAATTAAATTGAATTCTGATATTATTAAACCCGTGGTCGTCAGAGGTCACTAACGACGGTAACCAGACGTAGCTTTTGGTAGTTTGGGACAGTGAACATATTACATAACGAGAAGGGTGTACGGGTGGATTTTTTAGATTGTTTTTCTTGTGTTATTTGGGGTTGGTGGGGGGGGGTGGAGAGCAACGTTATTTATATAACACTTTTTTTTAAAAAAAATATTTTTTTTTGGATTTTGATGTTTTTAATTATTAATTCATTTTTTTTTAAATGTCTGCTTTTCTAATTTACGAAAGTAGCTTAGATTTATTATAAATTAAAATACACAGTTTTGCTTACATAATTGTCACATTTGAAAAATCAATTTCTGTTTTTTTAAATTGAAATTTGCTTGTTTAGGATTTAAAAAAAAAAAAAAAAAACAACTTTATTTGGTTTTATCTGGGTATATTGTCAGATTTGAAAAATTAATTTGTGTTTTTTTAAATTGAAATTTATTTGTTTAGGATTTAAAAAAAAAAAAAAAAACAACTTTATTTGGTTTTATCTGGGTATATGGAGAGGGGAGGTTGCTGGAGATGTTATATACCATTAAGGGGTGGTCAATAGAAATGTTATAGAACGTTATAAGGGCTAGGGGTGGGTCCAATATGTCAATTTTTGTGCTATGTTATATGTGTACGACCCGTTAAAAAAAAAAAAAAAGAAACATCAGGCTGAATTTCTCAACGAGGACTAAATCAATTGGCCACAACTTCGGTACCATGACGTGGACTCAATCGATTGGCCACACCCACGGTGCCATGACGTGGACTAAACCAATAGGCCACACCTACGGTGTTAACTAAACCAACAGGCCACACCTACTTTACCAGAGAAGTTGGCATGGCCCAACTTCAAATTCGTTTCACTTTACACGAAAAAAAATAAACACAATGTCCAGCCGTTCAAAGACATCAAACCATTAATCACGCCATAAGATTCTCCCTGAACACAACACAACACAACACTCGGGTAATTAACGATTAACTTAGCTGACAAAAAAAAAAAACAAAAAAAATTCAACTTAATCACGACACACACCACCACAAAAGTACAACCAGCTCTGGGACCAGCTGTCTAAAAATAATCTGTCTCTGCAGAATAAGAAGGAACAAATAAAAAAAAAAACAACTCTACTGAAACTAGCGAACACAAAATTGTTATCTAAAAATAAAAATCTCTATCAGCCCAGCTACAGTAACGGAATCATGACCTTGTCCTCGATCCTGGATATGATATTTGAAATTCTTTTTTTTTTTTAAATATCTTTCTTAAAGTGAAAATGTGTTGATGATGGCAACTATGAATTATGAAGTGTGGCTTTACCTTGATCTGATCGTTCAGCTCAAGAAATCTATACGTTTCATTCAGAGGAGTAACTCGGTCATCTCCAAAGGGACACAAGTCTATACACTTGGTACACTCTGAGGGTAAGGAAAAGCAGGTGGGTGGGATAACATCAGGGGTCAAGTCCCGGGGGAACAAATGTGGGAATTTGCTCGGTTTCCACTCCCCCCCTCTCCCAAACCCCAAAATAAATATGTATCTATTTTTTTCATTTTTAAAAATTAAACTAACTCTGTTCCCGTGCGTCCCCCCCCCCCCCCCACC